GAGAAAAAAAAAAAGGGGAGGGTGGGGGGGGAAAGAAAAAGGCAAAGAGGAAGCGGCCTTGCCGAGCATCATCGCATGAGCTGCAGCGGAGAGGGTGGCTCTGCTCCCGGCTCCTTGCTGGTGACTTGTCCCTTGTCCCACCCTGTCCCCATCTTCCTCAGCATCTGGCCAAGGCTGACCAAACAGGGATGTGTTTTGTGTCCGTGTGGGTCAGGGGCTCAGCTCCTAAACCCCCTGGGTGCTGATGGGGGGTGCAAGCGTTTGCAGCATCCCCAGGGCTTTGCAGGGCGTTTGGCTGGGCATGAGCTGAGCGTGGCGGGGGGGGAAAAAAAGGGAGAGGAGGAGGATGGGGAGGAAGAGATGAGTCTGGGCCATGGAGCTGAGCTCTCTCCTTTGCTCTGCCCTCAGAACGCCGTCCGCCACAACCTGAGCCTGCACAAGTGCTTCGTGCGTGTGGAGAACGTCAAGGGAGCCGTCTGGACCGTGGACGAGCACGAGTACCAAAAGCGAAGGCCACCAAAGATGACAGGGTGGGTCCTCCTTCACCCTCCTGGGCTGCCAAACCCCCCATCCCCGGGCCGGGAGCGCTCAGCCCTGCATCGCTCTGCTTTCTCTCTTTCCGCAGGAGTCCGACTTTAGTCAAAAACATGATTTCAGGACTCGGTTACGGAGCACTTAATGCAAGTTACCAGGTAAGGACCCAGCCCCGTCCCCGGCAGGGATGCAGGGATGCTAAACCTTCATCCTGTTTCCCATCACGGTCCCGCATCCCCCGTGCCTTGAGCCCCGCCGCCGCTTTCTGTTGCAGGCGGCGCTGGCAGAGAGCAGCTTCCCGCTGCTGAACAGCCCCACCATGATCAACACCAGCTCTGCCAGCGGGATGCTGCATGTGGGCCACGACGACGTGAGCAGCACCGTGGAGCAGGTCAACAGCAACGGCAGCAACAGCCCGCGCCTGTCCCCGCAGCAGTACAGGTCAGCGCTGGGGCCAGGGACGGTGCTGCTGGGTGTTTTGGGGTGCTGGAGGGTTTGGAGCTCTTAAGGGATGGGGGCACGTCGGGCACCGGGAGCTGCTCGCTGCCTCCTGTGGCTGTGAGATGTTGCACTGAGCTTTGTGGGGTTGCGGGTGGTGGGACCCCTGCCCGAGGCTGAAGGCTTCGCTCCCCGCAGCCACCCAGTGCACGTGAAGGAGGAGCCCGCCGAGGCGGAGGACGACAGCAGACCCGTCTCGCTGATGGCCACCACCAACCAGAATGTGACGATTCCCGACGACAGGGACCTGGAGGAGGAGCTGCCGGTGGAAGACTTGTCCTAAGGACCCCTTCCTCCTCCCCAGCGAGGGGCAAAAACCCTTCCCACCCTCCCGGCCAGAGACCAAGCGACGGCTCCCACCTCCCCAAGGTGACCTTCGGCGTTAACCCGTTTCTTAAAGGCACTTCCACAGAGCAAAAGGGGTTTCCTTGGTGCAACAACCGGTTGCTGACGGCGCGTCCCTCACGCCCCCCACTGCCCCGCGCCGCGGCCCCGCTGACTGAACGACCCTGCCACGGGGGACAGCCCATGACGTGAGAAGCAAAAACCCAAGAGCTGGACTTTTTCTCCCCTCCTCCCTTGGTTAGTGACTGGTGAACGAGGATGGTAGGTTGTTTCTGTCCGAAATTGGTCCCTCCTTCACCTCCGTCCCCTCTTCCCCTGCGGTTCCTCTGCTGCCCGGTGATGCTTGAGCCTCCACCAGCGACCACCCCAAGGAGGGAAGCTGATGGCAGGAACCCACCGGCGTCTCTCTGTCCCTCCGTGGGTTTTGCACTAGGAGGGACCGTGGATCCACCCAGCTTTGGGGGAAGAAACAGCGGAAATGGGTGTGAGTCCCCTGCCATGGTCTGGATGTCAGGCTCGCACCGTTGTCTCACAGCCAGGGAAGGATGAGGACCAATGCACCAGTGGGACCGTGTCCCCTCTGCCTCGTCACCCCCCGCAGGTTGCTAAACCACCCGGCGAGCAGAGCATCCCACCCCGAGCCCCCCGGTCCCCGTGATGGAGGGGCTGATGGTACCCAGCAGTGATGACCATCCCCATCTGGGCAGCGAGGACGCGGCTCCCCGCTTCCTTCTCGACATCGGCTGCAGCGCAACACCTCTCATAGCCCGTGCAGGGATGGTGGTGGTGGCTTGACCCCAGGAAAGGCTCCTGGTCCCCTCCACGCCTGATTCCTCCTCCAAAGCCAGGGCAGGGTCTCCGAGGCCGGGCAATGGTGCAGGGAGGCAGCATCCATCACCGCTGAGCATCCTCCCGCAGAGGAGCTGGTGTGGGCAGAGCCCGGCGCTGAGCCGTGCCACTGGTAGCAAAGATGGCCCTGGTGGAAGCC